ACTTTTTAGAATAATTATCTCAGTTACTATTGCCTCTCAAGTTTTAACATCCAGAAAATTGTTTGGACAATTAGAAAGGACATAAGAAATGTCCTTTTCAATAAGATCTTTAGTTTTTAATCAAGTCAAGACTAAAAACTAAATAGTCTTGTTCCAGTCATTCCTAAATTCTGGAGACTCGGAAAACATTAGAAGTGCTGTTATTTTCAATATAAGGTATTATATAAACACTGCCATTTTAAATTAAATTTCCCCTATTGACATGGTAAATTAGATTATATTAGCTTTTGCTGATCTTTTCCTTAACTGAGAATGTGAGCTAAATTTCATGATCTTTTTTTTTTTTTTGTGGTACCCAGGATCGAACTGGGGACCTTCCGCTTGCAGCTCAGGCAGTGGAACTACTGAGCTAAATCCCCAGCCCTGAGCTAAATTTCAGATGGGAGAGAAAGGATTAGATTTTTCTTTTTCTTTATGTTTATGGTTTATAGATTCTTAATTTCTTAATGTAGAATCTTGAAGCTTGCAAGGAACCCCATATTCATCATCTAGGATTTCAGAATTTTTTCTTCAAAGATTTCATTTTATCCTTTCAAGTAGGATATATGTTGAGTTATATCATGATTCCTAACCTCATTAAAGTTCTACTTACCGTTAGTAAGAATTTATTAACTATTATAGATAATATTAGAGACCTGTGATTAAATTCAAAGAAATATCAAATGCTATCCTTCTGTCTAAGAAACTTAAATTTAAATTGATCTGAGGTGTGCCTCATATTCAAGCATAAGGCAGTGCAAGATGTCTAAGTCCTTTCCCAGAGGCTTGGGGTCTGTTCTCAGTATTATAAATAAATAAATTGCTTTTTAAAAAGAGACAAGGGCCAGGGGTAGAGTACGTGCTTAAGAAGTACAAGGCCCAGCCGGGGATTTAGCACGTGGTTCTACCACCTGCATTGCAGGCACAAGGTTCTGAGTTTGATCCCCAGTACCAAAAAAAAGTGCAAGGCCCTGGGTTAGATCCCAGCACCACAAAAACGTATGTAAATAAAAAGAAACAACTAATATTTACACTGAATATCACTTGCAAAAAACTTGCTCCTCACTCCTAATTTGCCCTGATACATTGCACTATAAATAATATTTATGAAGATTATTTTTTCCTTTTATCACCTTTGAAATGGCCCATCAGTTACCACTGGTTGTTATAAGAGTTGAAGATAAATTGTCAGAAGTACAGTTCAGGTTTTTTCATGCCATTTGTACTTGAACCTTGCCAGAAAATCTCAGAGCCTTGACAGCAGATTTTAAAAGTCTCTTAACATATTCAGAAAGCTGAATAGTTAGCTCAAAGCCTGCCAAAGTATGCCCAAGTTTAAATATTCAATAATATCTGAGACCTTCTTTATAAGAAATACTAGTTTACCTGAATGGTTGTCTGGTTAATTAAACACATTTTGGAGTGTTTCTACAGTTAGAGAAAAGAGTCAATGCTGCCTCCAAGTCCACTTCATGTACAGTTACTGTTACCCATAGTTCTGTATGTTTAATGCTTCTTCTTCCATCCCAGCTGACTAGGTCTAGCCCTTAGTCCTTTTAAATGTTAGTTACTCTTAGCTTCTCATAAGTGAATTTGGTCCTAAATGCTCCATTCTTCATAGAACATAAAGTTAGCAAAGTGCATTTGGCATCTAAATGATGGGCATTACCTTCTTATGTTGGCTCTTATTAGAAACAAACTTTAATGTAGTCACTTCTGCTGTTATATTTCCATAGCTTTTCCTAGGAGTATCAGAATAGACACAAAGATAACCATGGGAGTCTCATCTCTGTCTTGCTAAATGGATCACTTAAATTGCTGGGGATTTAGCTCAGTGGTTTCACCGCCTGCTGCGCAAGCTCAAGGACCCAAGTTCGATCCCCGGTACCAAAAAAAAAAAGTCTAAGCTATGTAACTGTGCCTATTTTTTCTCTGGCCACCTGGGAATACTGATAGAGTTAAGGGGAAGGAGACTCCAACAAGATCAGCACTTACAGAATTCCAGATAGAAATCTGTAACAAATTATCTTGAGCCAATTGATGGATTGAAACTATGTTTCTTTTCTGAGATGAGGCTTGGGAATTATTTTATATAGAAGAAACTGCCTCCAGAGCACATTTTCCTGGCTTCAAAGTATCTGTCTTCTTATTGTTATTAACATAATCAGAAGAATAGACTGTACATTCCAGGAGGGCAAAGATCATGTCTCTTCCACCACTAACTACTCACCTATTGCAGTGTTAATGTCATATACACGGTATATGTATAGGAAATATTTCACATGAATGTTTTCTGAAGCCATTTTACTTTATTTTTAAGACTTATTCACTATCTTTTGGATTTCTTATTAAAATTTCTACACATGCGGAAGTAGAAAATACAACCTTATGAACTCATTACTTAGGTTTAATAACCATCAGCATTTTGGCTGGCTTGTTTCATCTATCCCCCTTTGTCCCCACATTGGAACATTTTAAAGTAAAACACAGACATGATGTCATTTCATTACAAATATTTAAGTAAAGACATATTAACTCCAGTGCTATTATCACACTAACAGTAAATCCCTAATTTCATCTAAAATCCTATCTGTATTCAAATTTTCTGACGATACATTTAAAACATAAATAGCCGGGCATGGCGGTGCCTGCCTGTAATCCCAGCACTCAGGAGGCTGAGGCAGGAGGATCTCCGAGAGTTCGAGGCCACCCTGGACTACATAGTGAGACCCTGTCTCAAGAAAACAAAATGAAACAAAACCAAATAAATAATGAATTAAAACCATTTTTAAAAATGTAAGAAGCTTCTCAAAAAGCACTCTCTTTGAATTAGCATTGAACCTAAAAGAAAATCTTGTTTATAAATGTGCAAGAATTCAGTATGGGTTGGACATGGTGGTACACGCCTGTAGTCCTAGCACTATTGGGAGGCTGAGGTAACAGAAACTCAAGTTCAATCCTAGCCTGGGCATCTTAGCCTCTTAGCAAGATTCTATCTCAAAACAAGTAAAATACAGGACTGGGGATTTAGCTCAGTGGTACCGCTGCCTACCTCGCAAGCGCAGGGTCCCAAGTTTGATCCCCGGTACCCCCCCCCAAAAGTAAAATATAGCTAGACCGGGCATGGTGGCACACATCTATAATTCCAGCACTCTGGAGGCTGAGGGAGGAGGATCACTGTGAGTGCAAGGCCAACCTGTACTCCAAAGTGAGGCCCTTTCTCAAAAATAAACCAAAAAAGGCTGGGGATATAGCTCAGTGCAAAGGCCCTGGGTTCAATCCCCATTATGACCAAAAAAAGAAAGGGAGACAGCCAATGATTTATTTCCTTTAGATCATGCTAGTAGTTTGCTTCATATAATTGTGGGAATTGCATCTGTAACACCAATGCTTATATTCATAATCTTCATATTCCCCTCAGTCTTTCAAACATGCTCTGCCAGTTAGAAATTATACCACTAGCAGACATTTATGACACATTTACAGTATGCCAAGAACTCTCCTTTACATTCATTATTTCATAAGACTCTTAGGACAATAAATAAATAAGTATTATTATACCTCCCTCCAGTTGACTTAGTAACTTGCCAGAAGTTGTGTTTTTTATGTTTTTTGGTTTTTTTGGTACCAAGGATTGAACTCAAGATCTCGAACTTACCAGGCAGGCACTATGCCGCTGAGCTAAACTCCCGGCCCTTGCCAAAAGTTTTATGGTTAGTGTTTGAGTTGAAATTTAATGTTTGTGTTTGTGTATGTGTGTGGTACTGGGGATTGAACCCAGGGGTGCTTTGTGGCTGAACTACACACCCAGTCCTTCTATTAAATTTTATTTTGAAGCAGAGTCTCATTTGCCCTGGCTGATCTGGAACTTGCTATCCTCCTGCCTCAGCCTCTTAAGTAGTTGAGATTACAAGTGTGTAATCATAGTTTGAGCTGGGATTTGTGGGGTTTTTGGGGGGGGGGATTTGAATTTAGGTCTCCTAACTATTGGCTCTGCTACTTTCCTTAGTATGCCTTAAAATGCTAATGAATTAGAATTTTAATCACTTAGGGCTGGGGATGTAGCTCAGTGGCACCGCATCTGCCTGGCAACCTCAAGGTCCTGAGTTCGATCCCCAGGACCACAAAAAAGAAAGAAAGAATGAATGAATGAATTTTAGTTATTTTACATATATTATGAACTCCCTAAGGATAGCAGAGAAAAGGGATCATACTGAAGAATTGGTTATACTGCTCTTCTCTTTTTTTTTTGGTACTGGGGATCGAACTCAGGACCTTGTGCTTACAAGGCGGCATTAGAACCAGTGAACTAAATCCCCAGCCCCTGCTCTTCTCTCTTAAACTGCTAATTAATGTTGGGGGGATGGGGTGGGGTGGATCAGTAGCATTTTCCCAGAATTTAAAACATAAATATTTTCAAACATTACATCAAGATATAAAATTCAGAGATCAAGGAGAGAAGAACTTCACAGTGTTTTGTGTAACATGGAAGGAAAAGAAATAGGGGAGCTTTAGGGAAGCAAGATTATCAGTGGAGCAGAGAATGGGGAAGACAAAAGAGAAATACTCAAAGAAAAACAAGGAATGCTTAAAAAAAAAAAGCAGTGTGTAGCTGCCAGGGCATAGTCACACATGACTGTAATCCCAGGTGCTAAGGAGGCTGAGACAGGAGGATCACAAATTCACAATCAAACTAGGCAATTTAGCAAGACCCTAACTCAAAATAAAATTTAGAAAAGGGCTGGGTATGTAGCTCAATGGTAGAATGTCAGTTCTCAATGCCAGGAGAGAATAGGGAGGAGGGAAAAGGAAGTCAGGAGAAAGAAGGGAGGGAGGGAGGGAGGGTGGGAGAGAGAGAGAATGAATGAGAGATTAAGTGAGGGCAGGCTGATCAAAAGAGTTTAAATGATCTAAAATTTCTTCCTTTAAACTTCTTAATTTCTCTGTTGTCTGTTATCCAGGCTGTAAGACTGGAAAGTACTTATCAAAATAGAACACGCTATATGGTAGTGGTTTCAACTAATGGTAGACAAGACACTGAAGAAAGCATCGTCCTAGGAATGGATTTCTCTTCTAATGACAGGTATGGTACCACAAAAGTAATCTGTTCTAGTTGCCCTTTGAGCTATTACAAAACATCTTGTACAGTTCTTTTAAAGTGCAAGTCATGAAAAATCTCTTAAGAGCCAGGCATGGTGGCGCATGCCTATAAATCCCAGCACTCAGGGGGCTGAGGCATCCAGCCTGGGCTACATACCAAGACTCAGAGACAGAGTGAGAGAGAGAGAGAGAGAGAGAGAGAGAAGAAAAAGCATTTAAACCACATTTTGAGAGAAGCATGTTTATGTTTCTCTCATCTTTTTTTTTTTTTTTTTTTTAACAAGGGATCAAATTCCAGACCTTGCACTTGAGAGGAAGGTGGCAGCACCACTGAGCTAAATCCCTGCCCTCTCATCTTTAGATAGTAATAGTACAAAGCAAATGATTTAAACTCGTATCTCCAGGGAAAAAGCTACTTTTTCTTGGCAGTTTTTTTTACTCCGTAATGATACATTTGAGTGATTCTGGGGTACATCTTTTTGGAGGAGTATACTAGTGATCCTGAGTTCAAGGAGATCCCACTTGAAATGCAATCTCATATATTTATCCATGGCCTTAAACTGCTTTTACCAAATTTTATGCCTCATTTTTCTTTCTTTCTTTCTTCAGAGTTAAAAGTGGGAAATGTTTCCTTAAACTCAAAATAGATCCTTGAATAATCATGCATCTTTGGATTTAGCTGTACTTCACATCCTGTGGTTAAAGATATCAGAGAGAACCTAGTTTTGGGTGGTTTTTTTGTTGTTTTTTTTTTAAATGTCCTTAAGGTTTTAGGCTCTTCCCCCCACCACCACCACCACTCATTCAGGAGAAACCTTGGGAAGACTGTGGAATGTGGCTGCTAAGCATATCTTTATACTCTGAGATAATAAGGTACAGGAAATCCTGCCAGATGTCTCAAAGCATTGACTTCCTGGTTGAGGACTAGAATGGAACTGTGGAATAGCTAGGGATGTGACCCAGGCCTAGGGGAATTTAGCCACAAAGAGAGCCAGTGAATGGGAGTGATTCTGATTGTCCTGATGTTGGGGGATGGGGGAGAAAAATCTCACTGTCAGAAGCTAGAAAGTTTCCCTAACCAACGATGTTTACCTGAGCTTTTACACAGACATCAACCTGAAAATGACTTGTGAATTCACAAGGATCACAAGGCCAGAGTTATTACCTTGTAAATCATTTGTAGCATGTAATTGTATGCTCAGAATTTACACAGGCTTGTAAACCAGTTTAAGAAGCTTTCTCGTTCAGTTTAACTTCTGGTGTTACCTAACCAACACTTTAGCAGTAACTTTTCCTATAAGAGCACCTACCTTGTCTATGTGAGGGTTTTAGGAACTCTGATTTGGGTTTTCCTCTCTTAATTTGTACTGTATAATAAGAGTTTCCACTAACCATCTGTGGATACTTAAATAAAAAGTAATGATATATACAAAAATAGAATTAAAATGTCAGTTCCTCAGTCATAAGTAGCCACACTACAAGAACTCAGCTGTATGTGGCTAGAGGCTCCCCTAGTAGGTGTATAGAACATTGCCATTATTGCAGAAAGTTCAGTTGGCTAGAACTGTTCTTATTTGTTTCCTTTGTTCAGTTCTCCCTGACCCTTCCCTTGAAAACTTTATAAAACAGGAATGCGAGCTCCATAGAAACTTTAGTTGATTCTTCCCTGGAGACAGAAGGTCGGTAACTCAGATTGTTCTAACCCAGAGTGAGCAATCAGATGTCTAGTCTTATCTCTTTCACTTTATCCTAAACTTTAACAGAAAGAATACAAATGTATTGCCTAGTAATTTACCCTTAATGAACCATATCTTTCTGCTATAGTAGTCCTGCCTGAATCATATCTGACAAGATCGATTAACAAAAGGAAATTTTAGTTTATAGAAGACAAAATGGAAGATGGAAGCTAGAAGCTAGTTTTCATTCTGTTTGGTAAACTTGATACATACTATGAAATTCCCATACATCTTCTACTTAAATGAGCCCCTTGAACAGTTAGAGAAATGCTGCTACTTCAGAATACTGCTGCTACTTCAGAATACTGCTGCTCACATAATCTAATGTCACTTCCATCTTAGTGCTATTGAAGACATGTATACTGTTTTGTATCTGAAAATATAAAAAGTCAATGTTTCAAAATAGTATTCAACTGAAGGGGTCAGGGATGTAGCTTAGTGGTGCATCGCCTTCTGGCAAGCACAAAGTCCTGAGTTTATCCATGGTACCAGAAAAAAAAAATAGCACTCAACTAAAGCAGAACCCAAATTGTTTATGAAAAGTACAAGTAGTTCTTCAGATATGGTGCACCCATGTCTTTTAGCCTATTTTGAGATATGAGTGTGTGTGTGTGTGTGTGTGTGTTTTGCCAAACTGGGAATTGAACCCAGGGCCTTACATTTGCTAGGAAAATGCTGTACTGAGCTACATCCCCAGCCAGTTGTTTTTATTTTCAGACAGGGTCTCACTAAGTTGCCCAAGTTGGCCTCCAATTTATAATCCTCCTGCCTTAGCCTCCTGAATAGCTGGGATAACAGAAATGTGCCACAGGACCCAGCTAGTCCAAGGATTGCTTAATGCCAAGAATTACTGTTAGTTGCTGAAAACTTTGGAATATGTGATCTGTTCAGGTCTAATTCTAAGGTTTGCATAGACATTTTGAACACCAGAACATATTCAGTAGTGTAAAAGTGAAAGGAAATAAAATGTAACAGGTGAGGCAGGAGGACCACAAGTTCAAGGATACCCTGAGCAATTTGATGAGACGCTTTCTCAAAATAAAAATTTAAATAGGGTAGGGGTATAATCTAGGCAGTGTGAGGCCCTGGGTTCAATTCCCAGTAAAGGGAAAAAAGGAAAGAAAAGAACCTGTCCTTTGAAGGCAGCTAATGCTCACCACTATACCACCAATACAGACAAGAAATACTCCTTGTTTTTTGTTGGTTTGGTTTGGTTTGGTTTTAAGACAGGGTCTCGCTATGTAGCTCAGACTGGCCTTGAACTCACTATGTAGCCTAAGCTAGTCTCAAACTAGCAGCAATCCTTCCTAGCCTCCCAAGTGCTGGGATTACAGGTCTGCACCACCTTGCCCAGCTAAGAAACAATCCTTGGAATTAAGTTGAATGGTATACTCTGAACTGAGAGCTACCAAATGCAAGTCAGCAGTACTCACCTGGGCATTTTAGATAGTAGCCATTTGTAAGACAGCAATACAGGGGTCCCATTCAGTAAATTTTCTTTGTTAAGTGTATAAGGAACTGACTGACCATCTCTTTTCAGTATCTCCTAAGGAGTATATGGGATTGATAATAATGTATGACAATTTTTTTATTCTAACACTTATACCACATTTTTTTAGCTTAGGGGTTACTCATTGTGTTGAAAGAGTTAATTAACAAAAGACTGCTTCCCAGAATAACAGGAAGTAACTTGTGGACTATTTCTTATCTTACAGTAGCACTTGTACCATGGGCTTAGTCCTGCCTCTCTGGAGTGACACCCTCATTCATTTGGATGGTGATGGGTAAGAGCTTTCCCTTTTTATTCTCCTACAGAAAGCAAAGGGGTGGTGTTCCATCTTAGTGACCCATTCATTTAGTTGAATGGGAGCCCCAGTATGCCCAACTAAACTGACATGTCAGCTTCTCAATGAGTCCTTTTAAACTCCTGTTTCATAAAGTAGAATAAAAATACAACTTGCCACAGTTTCTCACTTCTTTTCTTTTAGGCTGGCTCTGGTGGGAACTCAGACAAAGAAGAAGTAGTTTGTTGTCTCACTCTTTAATCTAAGCATGTGAGACTGTTGCAGTGCTCTCCCAGAGGATGATGTGTTCTGTTTCAAATAACCTCTTGCGGCCTTTGCCAGCTGTCAGCCTACAGTATGACCCCTTTCCTGTCCCAGTTCTTTCCAGTGACCCCACCACTCTCGCCTCCTCATGTTTTTAGAATGTGTGCCCAAGAGACTGAGATGTTTGCTCCAGTTTATAAAACCAGGGTCAGGTTTGCTAAGAACCCACAAGATTTCCAAGTAAAAGTATACAGGAGAACAGTCTGACTGTAGCTGTACCTAGGAAATTGTATGTAATCCCCTAACTCCAATGTGGGATTCCATTCATTTTGCTAGATAAAATCAAACAATTTGTTGAAGCTTTTCAATCAAATCCTATGCTCTAGTTAACTATGAAATATCTGATAATTCCTTCTATTGAACCAGCTGTTGCTAGCCTGGGAAACTTTGAAAACTTACAACTGAAATAATCTATCCTCATTTGTGGATTTTTGTCTTGTTCTCTTTTGTTCTTAGTGGGTTCAGCGTATCAACAGATAACAGAGTTCATATATTCAAACCTGTATCTGTGCAGGCAATGTGGTAAGATAACTTTACTATCTCTACAAAAAAATGTTTTTTAAACTATTCTATTTTTTGATATGTTATAAGAGCAATATTTTGTGAGAACTAGTATCTGACATGGTACAATGCTCTATGAAATGCTGTATGATTGTTAGTACCTGTAACATTTTTTAATGATCTGTTTGTGTAGATATCATAGTTAAAAATGACCTAGAAGAGCAGTTTTTAAATTGTCACAGAGGAAAATTTTGAGCACTGGTAAACAAGTGAAATTTAGAGATATTTTTAGGCTCTGAAAGAAACATAAGGGATTAAGTAGTTGTTTGGGACCAAGTTTTTTATAGGGACATCAACTAAGTTACTTAGCTAAGAGCTAAGTCTAAAACACTGTGTGTGTGTATTGCTGGGGATTAAACCCCAGAGCCTTTGCACTGAGCTACATCCTCAGTCATTTTTTATTTTGAAACAGGCCTTACTAAGTCACTGAGTTGCCCAGGCTGAGTTCGATCTTACTGTTCTCTGACCTCAGCCTCCCGGAGTACTGAGATAAAGAGCATGTGCCACCACACCCAGCTTAGAATACCTTATTGCTGTGCATTAGCTTTTGATTTCTTGTGGTAATCAGGGATAACATTGACAGAATTACATTATAGAGAGATAAATTTTCATTTAAAGTGCTGAGAGCTATTTGCATAATGCAAATAGAGCCTAGAGAAAATGTTGTTGTTAATAACCTTCAATGGGATTACTGACCCTTTTGAGTTATTTACTATGTGCCAGGCATTATGCCAGGTGCTTTACATGGGTTATATTTAATCATTACACCAACCCCCCAAAATAATGTTGTTGGCCTCTTATGGGTGAGAAAACTGAGGCTCTGGAGAGAGTACGTAACTGGCCTGAGAGTATCCCATTCACTTAGACAAAATACTCATTCTTTTTTATTATCTGGAAAATGATCTAATATAACCAGAGAATGACGAGACTCTTAAGTTCAGAATTCATCCCCTAGACAGGGATTAAAATTCAGTTTCTCATGCAGCTGCTTGTTCTGTAGTAGAAGTAACCAAAAGGCATAGAATGGACAGAAGGCAAGCAAACTAAGAAATAAAGGAGCTTGAAAAAGATTTTAGCCTTCCCCTCCCCTCTGAAGTATCTGAGGCACTAGGCCTTGAGTGTATTATAGGGCAGTTGCAGCAGGCTTTGGCATATACTTTTGAGACAAGTGTTTCCTAGATAAAGAAAACACACAGTAATTATCCTATATGTTACACTAAATAGGCCCTTACCTTTGAATCTGTGTAATAAAACAGATTCTCAGGCTGGGGATTTAGCTCAGTGGTTCTGCCACCTGCCTCACAAGTGCAAGGTCCCGAGTTCATTCCCCAGTACCAAAAATAAAAATAAAACAGATCCTCTTAAGAATTTAACTTACTTTGAGCAACAGAAAGCCTGTTTTTGTTTTTTGAGACAAGGTCCCACTATTTAGCACAGGCTGGCCTCAAACTCATAAACCTCCTGCCTTAACTTTCTGAATTGCTGGGATTATTGGTATTTCCAGCTCTAAAAAGCATTCTTTTTTTTTTTTTTTTTTTTTTTGGTACCAGGGATCAAACTTGGGACCTTGCACTTGTGAGGCAGGTGGCAGAACCACTGAGCTAAATCCCCAGCCCTAAAAAACATTTTTTTAAAAAAAATTCTGCAACTTTGTTTTTAAGGAAAAAGAGACTGGCACATAATTCCATAATTAAAATAAAAAAAAAAAAAAAAAAAGGTGTTTTTTAAATTTACATAGCATAGAGTTGATAAGAATTCTTAGAACAATCATATACCATTAGTAGAAGAATAAACTGGAGGGCCAGAGATTTAGCTCAGTGGTTCTGCCGCCTGCATTGCAAGCATAAGGACCCGAGTTTGATCCCCAGTACCAAAAAAAAAAAAAAGAATAAACTGGAGCAACTTATTTTTGGAGGGGGGGCACAGGGTCTCTCCAAGTCACTAAATTGAGTGAGATGGACTCCAACTTGCAGTCCTCTTGCTTCAGCCTCCCAGGGTTCTGAGATTATACTCATGTACCACCACACCTAGCTCAGAGCTTTCTGGAGAATGATTTGCCAGCATGCCTTCCTGCTTTCCATGCCCTTTAACCTAAAGTTCTACTAAGACTTTACTATGAAATAATCACCTTGGGCCAGGGATTTAGCTCAGTGGTTCCGCCACCAGCCTCACAAGTGCAAGGTCCCGAGTTCAATCCCTGGTACCTAAAAAAAAAAAAAGTTTACTGAAATATTCACCTTGTATATGTGCAGAGATTGTTAATGATGTTTGTAAATGCTCTAATAATGCCAAAAAATAGAAAACAATTTAAATGTCTGAAAAATAAGAATCAGTTAAATTATGATACACCTATTTCATTGAACATTATGCAATCATTAAAAATGATCTAGTTGAGGGCCAGGAATTTAGCTCAGTGGTTCCACTGCCAGCCTCGCAAGTGCGAGGTCCTGAGTTCAGTCCCCGGTATCAAAAAAAAAAAATGATCTAGTTGAATATTTACTGATATGGAAAAATGTTGATTTACAGGGTGTAAAGTAAAAGCAAGTTTTAGATTGAATATAGCATATGGTCGTATCTTTGTTTATTATGGATCTGTGCATAGACAAGAACTGGAAAGATCTGCACTAAAATCTTAACAGTAATTATTTCTAGGTAGTAAAATTATAGGATACTTCTACATTTTGTCTAAAGTCTATAAATTTTTTTGTTCATGTGGTGCTGGGGATCAAACCCAGGGCCTTCTGCACTTACTGAACTCTAGCTCCAATCTATAAATGCTTTGAAGTAATAACCATGGATCACTTTTTTATGGGGAGAAAAATAAAAAGTTTTTTGAAGAAAAATATGTGAATGAATTGATCACAGAATTCTCTTATACTGTCCTTTTCCTTTGGGAGCGAGACAAGTTTATAGCTAGTAAGACATTTCATTCAACAAATACTGAGTGAATTTCAGCTATGAGCTAGGCCTTCTTTTAGGCATTTGAAATATACCAATAAACAAAATGTGGAAAGGTCCTTGTTCTTATATGACTTAATTCTAAGCATTTGTAGCTTAAGTTTTTCCCATGTACAGTAGACAACCAAAAGATACTTTGCAGTTTTGTTTAACCCTTTTAAGTTCCTGAGTTCAGACTCAGAAGGTCTAGTTAGTCTCAGAATAACCAGAACTGTTCATAAAAGGTAGTTCATGTGTATGTATAAATGGTTCGAAAAGACTAGCAGACTAAAGCAGCAAAAATGATACATGTCATTATATCAATACTTCCAGAACATTAATGAACATGTCCTCATAGCTTAGGGACATCTATCTATCTGATCTTTGTGCAGCCTCTAAAGATCATAAAGAATGTAGGCTTACATGATTCTGTGCCAAGGGAAACAAATCTTTGTATATTAAATTGTTGAGCTCTTTAATTTTTTGGTGATACAGCCACAGCAGGGTTCCAACTATAGGATAAATAGCTCCATAAGTCTATTTTTTTAGACCTTTTATTCAATTAAGAGTTTGAAATACACATGGGTTATTTATTTTTTGGTAACCCACAGCTCTACAGTGCTCATTTTCCAACATATCTTTCAGGTCTGCACTACAGAGTTTACACAAAGCTTGTGAAGTCGCCAGAATGCATAACTATTACCCAGGCAGCCTATTTCTTACCTGGGTGAGTTATTATGAGAGCCATATCAACTCAGATCAGTCCTCAGTCAATGAATGGAATGCTATGCAGGATGTGCAGTCCCATCGGCCCGACTCTCCGGCTCTCTTCACAGACATGTAAGTCAGCTTGCAAAACTCCTCTGTTGTGTGCTACCTAGCAAGTTCCTCTCTAATCTCCCTTCTTGGGGAATTATGCAGCAATAGTAGTCACCATCAATACCATACTTCAGGCACAGGTCACACATAAAAACCCCATTCTTCCTATTGCCTGAAAAGGCATGAAGAATTTCAGCTCTGAGACCAGTGGAGTCTCCATAGTAAAGAACTCTAATGTCATAAAACCCATTTTTTCAGGTTGTACTTATTTGGAGGAATTGGGTTGAAATTTGTGTCAGCATTATCTTTGAAAGGACATTTGGTAAGCAAATTAATGGCAAGAAGCTTTTAGAGGGATGTTTGTAGTACTTAAGGAAACAAGATGTTTCCAATCAACTTAAAAGAATACTTCAGTTGGGGCTGGGGATTTAGCTCAGTGGTTCTGCTGCCTGCCTTGCAGGCGCAAGGACGAGTTCGATCCCCAATACCAAAAAAAAAATACTTCAGTTGTAAAGCTAATTTTAAACTTTATATTCAAATTTACTTTTTATATTCAACTGAGTACTTCAGTTGTTAAGCTAATTTTAAACTTTATATTCAAATTTACTTTTTATATTCAAATTTTCTGTTCAGATTTTTTTTTAAGGACAGTTTATCATTCAAGTGTCTTACTCTGCTCTACCTTTGCCTTAAGTCCCTGTCAGTGAAATTTTTATAAAATCTCCCTGTGTACTGTGAGTTGGATAAAGGCCTAAGGTGGAGATGATGTTTATTTCCTTTCTAGATTTATGTGTTGAAACTTCTGTGGCTATTTTGAAAGTTTTTTTACACTTATATCCTCCTTTGAAAATTAATCAAAATGTTTATTTTTCTCTGAATTGATCTTTCTGTACTTAAAAGGTATTCTACAGCTAGAAAATAAGAATAGCTACTTACTCTCTGACCTTACAAATAGGATTTGCTTTACAATTCCTAAGGTCATGCCCCAAAGGATTCAGCTGAGGGCCTGGATCCCAGCAGTTTCCCTTACAAGTCCAGCTAAAGGCTTAGAGTCCAAGGCAGTGTCCTCTACAAGTCCACCCAGTGGCCTAGAGCCCACGGCAATGTCTCATGCTTGTCTGTATTGATGATCTGCACCTGGAGGGCCCAAAGGCCAGTGGTGGAAGCCAGAAAACCTCTGCCAATGAAATGAAGGATTTGTGCCACCAAGGTGAGAGATCCACATTGGAGCCAGGAAGTGATGCTCACAGTGAAGATCAGAGCTCCCCTGATGAAAACAACAGCCATTCCCAGCGACAGTGAGGCCCCGAGCTCCTCCTCCTACAAGAACAGCCTAGTTTGCATCAGGAATACCATCCGCAGCAAGCTTCTCCTAGAAAATCAACAGGCCAAGATCTTCCCCCTCCAGTTCTTTTTTTATGGCTATTGGTAACAATCTTCAGGTGGATCCTCCACGCCCAGACCACACTGATTCAGTTCAGCTAGGAATTCCAGGTTGACCATTAGTCAATCCACCTCACATGCCTAAACAGTTTATGATGTGTTGTTGTTGTTGTTTTGGTACCAGGAATTGAACTCAGGATCTTGCATTTGCCAGGCAGACTCCGTGCTACGTCCCTGGCCCTCATGATTTGTTTTAAAGGCTTTATTTAGATAATAGTCTGATAAATCCCTTTTACTAAAAAAGATGAAACTTCTAAGAGTTATGTACAAGAAACAGTCCCAGGGAGTTATAAGTACTAGGACTTCTCTTTTAGTACCCTTAGTCCTTTCAAGATCCCATAATAACTAAAGATACAAATTTGTAGAAAATTTTACTCATGATTTTGTGTTTTACACCTGGTTGATGTATTTCAAAGGAATGGATGTCTAGCTAGAGAGGATTTTGAAACTATAGTATACCCCCAAAAAAATAACAAATAAAAGAAATTGCTCATAATCTCTACATTCCTAAGCAAAAAAATGTAAAAAGAAGTTCCTGGCATCTGGTAAAGTGTCATTAAATATTAGTTCTTCTCTATATTATAATATCAATTTAAATATGTTTAATAAATAAATGTCTATCTGTTCATATGAAAAGAACACATGGACGCTATAGGCCACAGTATTAATAATGATTATCTTTAGAGAAATTTTTATTTTCTTTGTATTTTTACATATTTTCCAAATTTTTTTCCAGTGAAAAGAAGGAAAAATATGTGTGTGTGTGTGTTGTAATGCACTTTCCATCCTCTTCATCCTCCCAAAATTGACTAGAAAGACCTATAAAAGAATGCTGACAAAACAAGGATAATGTATGCCAAAACAGACTTCCTATCTTCTACTGTGAATAGTTTATATTTGAAATCCAAAGAAAGGGAAGAAGTGGGAATATACCTGTGATGTCCCCAGTGTGCATCTAATGCTATGCCAGGCACTTCATATATGGTATCTCATTTAATCTTCATAAGAATCTCAGGAGACAAGTATTATTATTGCCCTTACTTTATTGAAAAGAAAATAGATACTCAGGGAATAGAAAGAACCTGTTCAGGGTTACATCACTAGTAAGTAGCAGGGCTGAAATTAAAACCTAAGTCTATCTGCTACCAAACCACTCTGTCTCAAAGAAGCACAGGGGATTGAAATATTACTAAACTAGGAAGTCTAACTTTTGCACACAGGAGCTAAAATTTGTTTTTACCAAATATTTTTAATGGAATACTAAAATTATACATTTACTTTTTACTATTAGCTATGTCAGGGAAAAGTGAAACATAGATAAAAAAAATTTTATTCTTAGTCAAGACAGGGCTGTCTTTGCTGATTGACAGGGAAATGCCTCCTATTTAGTGTATTCTGTGTTCTACAGAGTTCATAAGAAGCTAAGAGCCCAAGTGGTGTGGAACTCCAAGGCTGTGGGGTTATAGCATCCATTTTTGGAAATTAACAAAGCTATTTTTGCAGACAGTGATAAGGCTGTGGGCAGCAAGAGCAGGCAGGATGCCTGAAGCCTTAGTCCATGTCCATCTCCAAATAAGGAGGTGTAGAGCAGATATCTTTCTTCAGTAGGTATGGGGAAAAGGTGAGGCAGAAAGTGCTTTCTGTAAGCCTTACTCATATACTGCATAATATGAAATAATACCTTTAGAGAGAAGCATCCAGTTACATTGAGCCAGTACCTTTCTAGTAACTGGCAAGTCAGCTACTTACTTTGATTTTATACTAAAGTTCCAAGAGTAATTTTATTTTCAAGAAATTCAGAAGACTGAAAAAGCAACACAGTTCTGTAGGTAGAGTCTTGGACTGGGCTGAGTGAGCATTTTTATTTTCCTGCCAGTTTGTATGATCATCAGCATGTATTTTAATGTGTTCATTTTCTTCATCTGTAAAATGAGGATAATAATTTCACAGAGACACTGTGAAAGTTGTCAAGAAGAGGAAAGCATCTTAGGTGGAAGTACAGTAGGTAACTGATCCCTACAACCCATTTGGGAGAGAATTTGCCTTATTGAAAGGCAAGATCATTCTTCCTGCTTGTCTGTTTTCTAGAACCACAACAATAAATGATCAGCATACAGTAGCATTTTAAGCTACAGAAAACTCAGTTCACACTACTACTCTTAGTAGTCTAGCTCAGTAAGGGATACCTAGGCATACTTGATGGGAAAGTATGGAAGAGGTCCTGTATTAAAGAACCACACTCAGTATACCCAACTTCTCTTTGCTTCTTCATGAATTTATATACATAAATGTATGTGAAGGGTTTAAACACATAACATCTTCAAGTAATAATTTCTACATGTTACATTCAATACATTCTTAAAAGAAACTTTTAAAAATGTAATTTTCATTTGCCATGCCTCCACAATGTAAACTTGAGGTTGAGGCAAACCTTGCCAGTTTGGAAACATAATAGGTTTTGGTGGAGTTTTGTTTGTTTGCTTGTTTGTTTTGGTTTTGGTTTTTGTTTTGGTACTGGGGATTGAACTTGGGGCCTTGTGCTTGCAAGGCAGGCAACAGAACCACTGAGCTAAATCCCTGGCTGGAAACATATAAAATGGTACATTCATTTACTTAGATTCCTCCTTAAGAAAAATTATTATTTCTCTGTTCTCAGACCAACAGAACGTGAGCGAACAGAAAGGCTAATTAAAACCAAGTTAAGGGAGATTATGATGCAGAAAGATTTGGAGAACATCACCTCCAAAGAGGTAAGAGTCCTGACTCCTCCATGTTCCAAGACTAAGAGAAGGACAGTAATAATTGTGGGGCTAGAAATGGTATATGGTTGAAAGTACAGAGACTTTACAGAGATTAGTACGATATGTCATATTTGTTTCAGATACGAACAGAGTTGGAAATGCAAATGGTGTGCAACTTGCGGGAATTCAAGGAATTTATAGATAATGAAATGATAGTAATCCTTGGTCAAATGGATAGTCCTACACAGATATTTGAGCATGTGTTTCTGGTAAGTTTCAGGGTGGTTTTTTTTGTTGGTTTTTTTTCCCACTTCAGGGCAGTTTTAAGTATTGTGCGAAAGCTAGTCTGTCTGCACTACACTCTTGGGGGTAGAGGAGCCATTGTTAAATTTTATTATATTTAAGGAAAATGTAATTTACATTCAAAACAAAGGTAATAAGTACTCAAATCTCATCACTTCTGAATCATTTATTACCTTTTAATATTATCTGTGCTTCCAAACTAACTTGCATTTATTCTTTCATAGCAGTTGTTATAATGATATGCTACTGCTCATCTCTTCCCAGTTCCTCACTCAGTAACATCAAGCTGGTAGATTAAAATTGGCTATAATGAGAATATTTACAGCATTTGTAGCAAATGCTACAAATCAGTCTTTTTCCCCCCAAGGTTGTTAAATATATCATCTGTTTTTCATACTACTCGGTTATAAACACCTGTCTACTATAGTTTTTTACAGTATATCTAAATAGTATGATTGAATCTAGGGCCAAACACATGCTAGGCGGCCACTCTACCACTAAGCTACATCCCCAGTCCTAAATAGGATGATCTTTAAAGTCCTCCTTTTGAGTCTACCATGTTTCTAAGGTCTGATATATTTAAGCAGAGCAGATAGGAATTACTTTTAACTGAGAAGTTATTGGACTTATTTTTATGGTGCTAGGGATCAAACCAAGGGCCTCATACTTGCTAAGCACATGCTCTACCACTAGTCTACATCTCAGCCCTGGACTCTTATAAACGTGTAGCTACACTTTGAATCCCCAAAGTACTTTTCAAAAGTCAGTAAAAATTGTTCTTTATAGTTCGCAAACATTCACTGTCCTGTAATTAGCCCAAGGTGACCTCTCTGACAGAGAAGTTAAGAAAAATTCAAATATCCTAAGATCCATTTTATTCTCAAATGTTGAAGAGTTCTAGTTTTCATCACTACATGAGAGTTGGAACAAGATTAACAAAGATAATTAAAATCAATGAGGAATCCTAAAACTTCATTTTTATTTCTACTTCCAACACATTTTGACTAAAAATGTTAACAGAAACTAAATCAGTTGGTTTGAATTTTGTTTCCTTTCTCAAGTAAGGATATTATGAACTGCGAAAAGATTAGAAACTGGTAAATATGTAGAACTTTTGCAAATGGGAAGGGGAACAAAAAAAAAGAATTAAGATGTGTTACATACATGTACAAACTCCCCACAATAAATGCAATCATTATTACTGCAAACATGTACTAATAAAAGAATAAAAAGAAAAAACTGAGAAATATGAAAGAAGAGGAATAAGTATATAGGAACTGACTAAATTGGATCAACTCACCCTGAATATTCAAGAGTTTATTTCACCAGGCAAGTCAGACTGTGTGCCACTGAAGGCTTATGCCCTAAGTTAATCTGTTGACATGTGTATCTCTAGAGTGACTCGTAGTGAACTAAAGCTATGAAATTACTCACACAGTTTGGAGGGAAACTTCTTTGCAATACTTTCACATGGCCTATATATGTTGCCATTTCTGGATGTAGATCATACCAGACTTCTCATTTGTAAAGCACCTGGTTTCATTGTCTCTGATGTATACTTCCATGAAGGTTCAAAGATACCCAGCTCCTATATTGTGTTATCTATAGGAAACTTAGAAATCACTCATTCAGACAAGCTCTGCCCCTAACTCTCTCAAGTCAGACCTTGATAAGCACCTTAAAAAGATATGGACCTGGGCCGGGGATTTAGCTCAGTGGTTTCGCCGCCTGCTGTGCAAGCGCAAGGACTTGAGTTCAATCCCCGTTACCAAAAAAAAAAAAAAAAAAAAGATATGGATGTGACAAATGTAAAATACAGCTGATTACTGACTGATCAACCTATTTTATTCCATACATATTTCCTTAAGTCTCTGCCACTACTGCCTCCAGAACGACCTCCTCTCCCCCTCCTCAAATGGTATAAAAGCAAAAAATAACTTAATTGCTCCAAATTTATATTTCTATATCAACTACAAATGTATTTGAGTATTTATACCAATAGATTCATCTTATTTCACAATTCTTTTCTGATTTTTTTCTTACTACAAAAATAATTTATGTTCATTGTAAAAATGTTGAGACAACAAATCACATTTAATCATCACCAAAACAGGTATTCATTGTTACCTTTTGTTATTGTCACACATATGTGTGTCTCATATATATATATATATATATATATATATATATATATATATATATATATATGGACTTTTATTTTTTATAGCAGTTTTAGGTTCACAGGAAAATTGAGAAGAAGATAATGGGTATTTTCTTTGTCCCACACATGCATAGCCAACTGCATGATCAAATCTCCCACCAGAGTGGTACATTGGTTAACAACTGATGGACCTTTATTGGCATCTCACTCAACCAAAGTCCATCATTTACGTTAGAATTCACTCTTGGTGTTTCACATCATATGAGTTTAGACATGGGCCGGGGATTTAGCTCAGTGGTTCCGCCGCCTGCCTTGCAAGCACAAGGACCTGAGTTCGATCCCCCGTACCAAAAAAAAAAAAAGAAAGAAATGACATATGAGTTAGACAAATTTATGACAGCTATCCACCATTACAGTATCATACAGTTTTTACTTTTAAAATACATATTTATGTACACAGTTTTGAACAAAGGAAAATTTATTCAGCTTCAGATATAATTCTGTCTTCTAGAGAATGGACATTTTCTTTCCATTGTATTTTTTTAATTTGGAAAAATATCTTCCAGATTTAACTCCTGTCCAACAAAATAAGTACACAAATAAGTTGTCTAAACATATTATACTTGTTCCTTTGTAGCTTTTTTTTGTTTGCACTGCCATATCCTATGTCCAAATCCCTCTCTTTTCTACAGTGAGTTTGTACACTGCTATCTTTCCCAGCAATCAACATGGAAAAAGAGGTCTTATCCTAGCTGCAGGTCATGGTGTTAATTTTCTGCAAAGTCATCTCATATTGTGCATAGCTGCCATGCCCGGAGCTTGACCAGAATGTGTGAAGAGGCAGCAGGATTTTTTTCTTCCCTTTGGAAGAATGCTCAGCTCTGCAGTATACTGCACAGAGATCTGTTTATTTGGAAAGGAATCCAGAGGGAGCATGAAGAACATAGTTTAAAGAAAATCTTAAGTGAAAAGAAAAAGACATTGATTGGTGGGAAGCCAGGATGTTAACTAGAGAAAAGGTTCTTCTGCACCCGTACAAGTGTATGACTTCTCTGAGCTGGAAACCTTTTCCTAGCCAAATTTCAATATCAACAGCTCTCCTGGAGGCTGTCCAGTTTGGCTGAGAAAAGCTAGATGTGAACAGAGACCCTTTACAGAAAAACAGTCAACTTTCTTAAACAAGGAAAGCACAACCAGTAATTTTGCTCAGGAATAAGGAAAATAGAATTTTACTGTCAATTATCTTTTTAAAGATTTGATACAAATTTTTTAGAAGTGTTTCCTTTTGAAAGAAAAGTTTAGCCTCAAACTGGTTGCTTTTACTGGAGGATGGCGAGTACATGAATAAATAAGACAGTAACGAAGTGGATTATTTTTATCATAGTCATGATTTTTGTCTCTGCACTGGAAATGTGTGACATAAACTTCTCTTAGAAAGAAAAGTCAACTGAAAGCTTATGCCTGCTTACCACAGTAACGTGGCTTACAGTGTTGAGGGTATTGGCATAATATGGTAAAGAGGATAGAGATTCCAGACCTTGGAGATTGTCATGTTGTTTTTATCCTTCCAACCTCCAATACAGTGTTTATTTGCAGTGCTCTCTTTTATTTTGCTTGGAACAGTTGGACCCCAGCAAGGCTATTTCCTGAGGATAACATTTGAAAAGAATCAGTTACTGGGATCTGAAAGCCAGTGTATAGTGTGGGAGAGCCAGAGTGAAAGATGGAAATGAACTTACTTAAAAAAGTAAGTTAGCTCAGTGGTGCCTCCACCTGCCTCACAAGTGCAAGGTCCCGAGTTTGAGCCCTGGTACCAAAAATAAATAAATAAATATATATATGTGTGTGTGTGTGTGTGTGCGCGCGCGTGTGTGCGTGTGTGTGTGTGTGTATATATACATACATACACACGTGCGCGCGCACACACACACGTATAAGGGTTTGGGGATTTAGCTCTAGGCAGTGGTAGAGTACTTGCCTAGCATGTGCGAGGCCCTGGATTCAGTCTCTGGTACATATAGGCTATGTTTTTGCATAATTACAGTACACAGAATACAATGGAAACCACTATGGAGTTATGTCATTATGAATCTGAAAAGATGGAGGTTTAAAAAAAATTATTGGGTCTGTGGAGAGCCCCAGGAAGCTAGTATTTCTGGTATTTATGTTGATGACAGAATAGTAATAACACCAAGTTGACTCCAAGTCTTTCAAATTGAACCTGAAACAGCCCTAACCACAGTCCAAGTCACTTTATATGGGCTTCACTGAGTTCAGTGACTAGTGCCTTTTAATTTATTTTGACTCTGGATAGGAGTCACTTCAGACTGTCAAAATGAATTCTCTCTGGATAGGTAGATAGGTAGATAAAAACTAGACTTTTCTCATCACCTAAGGGTTTATTTTCATCCACCTGGACAGAGTTCTACGGACGATTTAAATTTCTAAATTAAGAAGTGAAGTGGTCACATTGCCCAGGCTCCAGCTCAGCCACTCGACTCTTATTGTTTAGTGTCTGTCTCCTTAAGTCCTATGTAGTTTTTTGGAGGGTCTGGGGCTAGTTTTCTAAGATTGAACACAAAGCCTTCAGAGCCTTCCATGTTTTTTGAGAACAAGTCAGCAGAGACCTCATCTTTAGATGTCACCGTTATTTACTCATCTTTTCCTAAATAGAACTTCAACACAATGTCCTTGAGAACTCCCAGTTTAACAGTCCAATTACAGGTCACTTGTAATATGATCATAGTGTTTATATAACAGTTGACAGTTTTCAAAGGGCTTCATTTGTTTATTTGTTCACTCATACAACAAACATTTGTTGATCCTCTATTGTGCCAGCCATGAGACTAGGCATTTGTGTGGGCTGGTCTAATTCCAAAAGGAGTGATGAGCATATCAGAGATACTCAGAGAAGGCCAATGGAATAATATGCAAAGGTGACCCCTGACTAAACAATTAGGAGAGATTATTAGTAACATTAGCAAGCATGGTGTAAGGGCAGAGGCTAAAGTGCAGTGGGTGGAATCTTGGGAAATAAGGAAGTACAGAAAATATTATACTTTATTTCTATGAATCTTAGCTATGAAGAGAATGGAGGAATAATATCTAGAGGAGGATTTGGGGTGGAGTTTTTCCATTTTAATATGTGATCAATTTTATGTATATAATTATAGGGGAAGGTATCCATTAAAAACAGGACTAGGGTGGAGTGTATTCTATTTTATGGATAAGGAAAGAGAATGCATATAGTTTAAGCACTTTGTCCTTTACCCATGGTAGGAAGACAGAACTTGAACTCAAGTATTCTGATGCTAAATTCCATTAATTCCATTTAAATTGCATTTAATTCTGAAATAGATATACTCTGAAAATATACTCTTAAATACTCTTTCAAACAATATGAACAGTTTGAAAAGATAGAAAATGGACCTAAATATTGAAAAGTTGCTTGCTTTTGCTTGTATTAGAAATACATATTGAAACTACACTGAGATAACATTTCACATCTTCCAGTTTTGTTTTGGTTTTTTTTTTTTTTTTTTTTTGGCACTGGGGATCGAACTCGGGACCTTGCACTTGCAAGGCAGGCGGCGGAACCACTGAGCTAAATCCCTGGCCCGACACATCTTCCAGTTTGCCAAAAATTCAGAAACTTCACATTTTGTTGCTAAAGCTACAGGAAAGTGGTGTACTCATTCATTACTGGTGAAAATATAGAATTGTTTCAACCTCTTTAAAGGGGAATGTAGTACTGTCTACCAAAATTTCATTTAGCCTTTCATCCCACAGTCTCACTTCCACAAACAGGAAAACATTATTCATAGGAGACTAGCTGAATATAACTATCATATCACTACCTAATGAAGTACTATGTAGAAGTAAAAAAATATATATATGAACTGTTATATGGAATAGTTTTGAAGCTATATTGGAAAATAGCAAAAAATATGAAGTACACTACTTTGTAAGAATTGCTAATCTGAGGAAGAATTAGCAGTAAGTATATGTTTGCTATATTTTTCAAAATAGAACATAAGTAGAATAAATCAGAAATGAATGAAAGTGGTTACCCATGGGAATTGAAGATACATAGGTGGAAATTAGACTTCCAAGCTAATAAACTTTAATAAACTTTTAATAAACTTTTGACTTTTAGCTATGCTTAAAAAATTAAATAGAGAAGAATGGGAAAAGCATGCCTTAAAATTGAATACAAACATGAGGCAAATTTATCCAAATGTATATCAAATTTATGAGTTCACAGAAAGAAATTAAAGTTACTTTGAAGCATGAACTTTGATTATACCTCTAGTGACTCATGACTAGGAAAAAAAGACAAAGAACATTTGAACTTGATAGGTTTGTTGTTGGTTGTAGTGTTGGCTTAATAATGTTGAATCTATTTTGTAAATAGAATAAATGAGGTATTGGGAACCAAGGACCTCAGTGCAGATTAGGGAGATACAAATAGTGGGCAAAAGAACCAGTATGGCTGGGCATGGTGGTGCACGCCTGTAATCCCAGCACTCAGGAGGCTGAGGCAGGAGGATTGCCATGAGTTTGAGGCCAGGCTGAACTACATAGTAAGACCCTGTCTCAAAAAAAAAGAAAGAAAGAAAAATGGAATCAAACTCTGTGTAAATAGGGAAGGGTGGAGGGGGTGAAGGGTGCACAGGTAATGGGAGAAAAAATAAGAACTAAGATACATCATGTTCTGGTACAAACACCCAATGATAAATGTAAATGTATTTTATACCTAAAATGTACCAATAAATATATATATAAATTTTAAAAAAAGAACCAGGTATAGTAGTACACACATTCTCTCTCCCAGCACATGGGAGTCTGAGCCAAGAAGAGCAAAACTTCAAGGCTAGCCTAAGCTACATCATAACCCCCTGTGAAATAAATGAATGAATGATGAAGGGCAAGAGAGTGAGGAACTACCCCATGGTGTTGAATGTGAATTGGAGATAACAGTACAAACTCAGTTTAGTTTTGTTTTGTTTTGTTTTTTTACGGTACTGGTAATTGGAAACCAGGGGTACTGTACCACAGAGCATTCCTAGTCCTCTTTATTTTTTATTTTGAGACAGGATTTTTATTAAATTGCCCAGATTGGCCTCAAGCCCCTGATCCTGCCTCACTCCGAAGTAGCTAGGATTATAGGCGTGTGCCACCACACTTGGTTTAAACTCAGTATTTTTTTGGAAATATTTTCTACCTTTGTCCACTGAAAAGTTTTAGAAGCAGTGATACCTGACAGTTACAAGCATAACTAATTAATCCCCAGATCTTGATTACAAAATATCATTCTTTACTAAAGAAAACAGGGCTTTTTGAGGAAATGGTGATTCTACTCACAAAGTGAATCTGGAACAACTTTTGAACAAGAAAGCAAGGAAATATTCAAAGATTAATGGGATCATATCAGAAGGAACCAGCTTGACGAGATCACCACTGGTCAAGCTCCGGATAACTTGAGGGTCACATAGTGACGATAGTGTATTATAACATTAAATACAAAAGAATGCTAGGGTTGAGGATTTAGCTCAGTGGCCCTACGCCTGCCTGGCAAGCACAATGTCCTGAGTTCTATCCCCAGTACCAAAAAAAAAAGAATGCTAGAGTCCAATTCAATGATACTTAATGGCTGGGCACATAGCTCAGTGGTAGAGCACTTGCCTAGCATGCACAGGCCCTAGGTTCAAACCCAAGTACCATTAAAAAAGGGGAGGGGGGTTGTAGCTCAGTGACACCGCACCTGCCTGGCAAGCTCAAAGTCTTGAGTTCGAGCTTCCATATGGAGGTGCGGGGGGCAGGGCACATGGTGGCACTCAAAAAAAAGAGGAATGAAGCCCTGTTTTAACAGAAGAATCAACACTTTGTAACCTCCAATAAAATAATTGATTTGGGCAAGGTCAGCAATTGATACTAAAACCAAAGGGTAAAAGTTATTATAAAACAGTATATTCATACAACTTCAAAGATGACTGATGCCCATAGATTACAAGTGAATTTAAAAAAAAAAAATCTGCAGTAGAGGGATGTGGCAGACACAAAGTGCAAAGAGTTCAAACTCAGCATATCAAATAATGGGACAAATGACATTATGTGCCTCCTGATTTGATGCAGCAGAAAGTACATATTGTCACCTTTATAATATTCTTGCCAAAATGTTTGACCTAAATCTAATCAGGAAATAATCTGACCAACCCAGACTGTAGAGAGTTCTCAAAGATAACAGATCTTAAGTCTACAAAAATGTCAGTATTGGGGCTGGGGATTTAGCTCAGTGGTTTCGCCGCCTGCTGCGCAAGCGCAAGGACCCAAGTTCAATCCCCGGTACCAAAAAAAAAAAAAAGTCAGTATCATAAAAGACTCCCCACCAAAAAGGCAGGGGTAAGCCTTCTAATTTAGAAGAGATAATAAAAGTATGACAAGCATGTGCAAAGTATGAGCCTTAACTGAGCAAAGATAAAGGATATTTTGGGGACAGTGGAAGTTCAAATATGGATAGTTTATGGTTACTGGATTAGTGTTATACTACGTGGATATTATCACATTATGTAAGAAACTGTTCTTAGATGATATATATTCAAAATTAAGTGCCATACTTAAATTGCTTTCAAATGATAAAATATGATGTATAATAAACAGATGTGGTAATGCATATCTGTAATCCCAGCACTAAAAGAGGCTGAGGCAGGACTGCAAATTCAAGGCCAGCCTGGTCTACTAGCAAGTTCAAGGCTGGCCTGGATTAAGTCACAAGACCTTGTATTCTTTTTAAGTGATATATATTGAAAGAAAAAGGAAAGACAATGATAATGTAAATTCAGCAAAATATTTCAGCTGATAAGTCTTCCAGAAAATCTGTAGAACAGCCCTCCCCAAGTTTGCCACTTATTCCTGTCTTAAAATTTTACACATTGTGTTTCCACCTTTGTTTGATAAAAGCTTTTTCATACTTTTCCACCACATGCACACATCCTGCCCTCCAACTCTTTAGATGCAATATAATGCACCAGAAAAGTGTGGACTTTGGAATCAGATCTAGGTTAATTCATAAATCCTGCTTTGTTCATTCAACAGATGTTTATTGGTACTAGACACTTGCAAGATGCACAGGTTGTATAGGAAGCAGGAGACCTGGTTTCAACCCTCAAGGAGCTTCTGTTACAGTAGATAAGATAATTAGAAAATAAGGATATAATAGAAATATATAAGTACAAATTGTGATACATGCTTGAGCAAAATATCAGATTACTAAGAGTAACAGTAACATAAGACACCTAACTTAGGTTGAATGGTCAGAGACACCTCTCCTGCTCTGTCATCTGAGCAAAAATGATTTGAATTTTATGAAGATCAGTTTCTTATCTGTAAAAATGAAAATGAAGTGAACTCTTCCCCCATGCTAGGGATTGAACCCATGCTAGGCAAGCATTCTACTATTGAGCTACATTCCTAAGCCCATCTATCTTTCTATCTATCTATCTATGGATAAGGTCTTGCTAAATTGCCCAGGCTGGCCTTGAATTTGAGATCCTCCTGACTAGCTGAGATTACAGACATGCACCACCATGCCCAGTGAAGATAACTTTCTTATTCTGTCATTTGTGAAAATTAAGTGTAATAACATATAAACTACTTGTGATAACAGAGAGCACTGAGTAGATGTTACTGGCCCTCTTTAAACTCTACTGTTTTCCTCACAGTACTCTTTTTCAAGTAACTATATTTGATTGATTTCCTAATACTCGCTAACTTTGTCTTCTTCACTCCAAATAGGGCTCAGAGTGGAATGCTTCCAACTTAGAAGACTTACAGAACCGAGGGTAAGAACATAAAGCAATTGCTGATATCCTCATGTGACAGAAATCCCTATTTAATCTTTACATTTTCCCATTAAAGAGGTATCAATGAGTAATTTTAATCTTAAGAGTTACTTCCAATTGATTCTAATCAGTTATGAAATAATGAAAATTTAAATGGCTGTTTCATCCTCCCAAGAACTGCTCAGTTATAGGCAGACGGGGGAGGGGGGTTCGTTTTGACTTGGTTTGCTTTGGTTCTGTGGGACTGGGCATTTAACCCAGGACCTTGTGTATGCTTGGCAAATGCTCTATCACTAAGTTATATCCCTGGTCTTTTTCTTTTTCTTTTTTTTTTTAATGAGTCAGGATCTCACTAAATTGCTTCGGCTAGGGGCCAGGGATATAGCTCAGTGGTTCTGGCACCTGCCTCACAAGTGCAAGGTCCCAAGTTTGATCCCCAGTACCAAAAGAAAACAAAAGACAAAAACAAAATAAAATAAATTGCCTGGGCTGGCCTTAAACTTGCTATCTTCCTGCTTCAACATCCTGAGTAGCTGGGATTACAGGCATGCACTACCACACAAGGGAAGATCATCTAATAGAAGGACTTCTAAAGCAAATTTCCAAGTCTTTGGTGCTGTTTAAAGTCAGTGTAGTTTTTGGTTCCTATTTTATGTAAGAGTACATAGAGCTGCATATTTTGGGTTAACAGAGCTGTTCATTCAGCATATATTGAACATCTGTGGGTCAACCACGCTGTTCAGCTAGTAATCCACAGACTAAAATTAGATTCAGTTCCTGTATTTTTGTCCTTTTCTAGCTGTTTGAAGATTAAATAGTTTATGAATATAAAATGAGCAAGCTCTTGAAATTGAGTAAGAAAATTTACCTTGTATTTAAAAATTACCCCTAGGCAGTGGGGTTATAAAGACTGCAGCAATTAAGACTATAGTGAATATTCAATAAACAAAAAGCTATCATAGTCCCTTTTTTTCTTTTTTTGGCGGTACTGGGGATCAAACTCAGGACCTTGCACTTATGAGGCAGGCGCTGTGCCACTAGGCTGAATCCCTGGCCCAAATCATATTCCCTTTTTACTTCTTAGCTAATCCAGCTACATTTCTCAGTGAACTTCACTTCAGAATAAAGATCATACCATTAAGAAAAAATATTGAGGCCCAGGGATTTAGCTCAGTGGCACCGCACCTGCCTCACAAGCACAAGGTCCTGAGTTCGATCCCCTGTACTGCAAAAAAAAAAAAAAAAAATTGAGCGAGGGATGTGACTCAGTGGTAGACTAGCACCTGCCTAGCATGTGTAAGGCACTAGATTCATTCCCTGGCACCACAAAAAGAGAAGAGATACAGAATCGACACACAAAAATCAATAACATTCCTGTACACCAATAATGAAATCAGGAAAAAATTCCATTCAAGATACCTTTAAAAAAATTAAGTATCTAATATCTAGGAATCAACCTAGCCAAGAAAATAAAAGACTACTGTAATGAAAACTACAGAACTCTGAAGAAAAAAATTTAAGAGGACTTTGAAAATGGAGAGACATCACTTGTTCATGGATCAGCAGAATTCATATTTTTAAAATAGACGGCATATTACCAAAAGCAATCTATAGATTTAATGCAATCCTTATTGAAATACTACCAACATTCTTCATAGAACTAGAAAAAACAATCCTAAAATTCATATGGAACCAGAAGAAGCCTACAATAGCCGAGGTAATCCAGAGCAAAAACAACTAAGCACAAGGCATCACAATACTGGATTTCAAGTTGTGCTACAAAGCAATAACAAAAACAGCATGATGGTACTGGAACAAAATAGACTTGTGAATCAGTGAAATATAACAGAAGAAACAGAAAAAAAACCCATGAACCTTCAATCATGTGATTTTTGATAGAAGGGCCAAAAACATATGTTGGAGAAAAGATAGCCTGTTTAACGAATGATACCAGGAAAACTGGTTATCCACATACAGAGGATTATACATTTTCTGTATTTCATACAGAAACTAAATCCATATCTCTTACTCTGTACTAAAATCAAAATGGATCAAAGACCTAGATATAAAAAACAAATTTTGAAACTACTGGAAGATAACATAGGGGAAACACTTGAAGCCGTAGCCTCAGGCAAGTGCTTCCTGAACAGAACTCCAGTAGCACTGGAAATAATACCAAGAATCAGCCAGCTGTGGTGGCACACACCTGGAATCCCAGCACCCTAGGAGGCTGAGGGAGGAGGATCACAAAGTTTGGGCACAGCCTTAGCAATTTAGTGACTTAGCAAGACCCTGTGTCAAAATAAAAGAAGGCTAGGAGTGGAGCTCAGTGTGAAGGCCCTGAATTCAATCCCCAGTAAAAAAAAAAATAAAAATTTTAAAATTAAATCAAATGGTATTATGTCAGATTAAAAGGCTTCTGCAAGACAAGGAAATAATCAACAGAGTGAAAAGACAGCCTACATAAAGGTAGGTTGCTATTTTTCTGAAAGAAGATTAATATCTAGACTATATAAAGAACTTTAAAAAAAAAGTAACCCCCCAAAATAAACGACCCAATCAAAAAATAGTCAAATAAACTGAATAGACATTTCTTGAATTACAAATGGTCAATAAGTACATGAAAAAATGTTCATCGTCTTTATGTTTTTAAACACAACTTTATTGAGAGATAATTGGCATACAATAAATTGCGCATATTTTAAGTATAATTTAATAAATTTTTACATAGGTAAATACTCATGAAACTATTGCCTTTCTTTTTGGTCTTTTATTTTGTACTTTATATATTAGGTTTCTCATAAGACAAACCATATGATATTTAAGCTTGTATGCCTAATTTACTCCACTTAACATTATGGTCTCATGGTACATCCATTATCCTACAAATGACTCAAGTTTGTCCTTCTTTATGGCAAAATACTACTCCATTGCATATGAAGGTCACATTCTCTTTATCCTTTCATCTGTTTATGGACATATAGCCTGCTTCCAGGATTTAGCTATTATGAATTTTACAGCCATTAGACATAGGTATGCATGTATCACTGTGATGTAACATCTTTATTTCAGAAAGATAATCTAGAAGGAGAAGAGCTGGGTCAAATGGAATTTCTGTTTTTAGTTTTAGAGGTAACTCCATGGTGATTTATACAGTGGTTGTACCAGTTTACACTCTCACCAACAAAGAAAGGTTCCTTCTCCACACCCTGCAGCCTCTCCCATGTTTGCTATTATTTGATTTCTTGATGATAGCCATTTTTTTGGAGTGCAGTGAAATCTCAGTGTTACTTTAATTTGCCTTTCTCAAACGTCCAGTAATGATGAACATTTTTTTATGTATTTACTGGCCATTTATACTTCTTCATCTGAGAAGTGTCTATTCATTTCAGATACCCAATTTTTACTGGGTCTTCAAATTTGGGGGTCTAATTTTTGAATTCTTTATATATTCCACATATTAATCCTTTGTCTAGGAATAACTGACAGAGTTTTTTTCCTGTTCTGTAGATTATCTCTTCACTCTTTTGATGATTTCCTTTGCTGTGCAGAAGCATTTTAATTTGATATGATCCCATTTGTTGATTCTTGGTTTTATTTCTTATGCAGCCAGGGTTCTGTTCAGAGTCTTTGCCTATGCATGTGTATTCCAGAGTTTTATTTTGTCTTCTAACAGATTTTTGCTTTGCTATTTTGATCTTTGATCCATTTTGATTTTACTTTAGTGCATGGTGAGAGATATGGATTTAGGTTCAATCTTCAGCATGTGGATAGTCAGGTTTCCAAGCACCATTTGTTTAAGAGGCTGTTTTTCCTCCAGTGAAAGTATTTGGCACCTTTGTCAAGACAAGGTAACTGAGTATGCTTGGGGTTGTTTCTGCATCCTGTATTCTGCTCCACTGATCCACAAGCTTTTTTCCTTTTTTCTTGTCAATACCATGCTGTTTTTATCACTGTAGCTTTGTAGTATAACATGAAATCCAAAACTGTGTTGTTTTCCCCCCTTCCTTTCCATGGTTGCTCAGATTTGCTTTTGCTATTCTAGGTGTGTTCTTGTTCCATATGAGTTTTAGGGTTGTTTTCTCTAGTTCTGTGAGGAATGCTATTGTATTTTGATTGGGATTGCATTAAATCTGTATAGCAACTTTGGAAGTATGGCCATATATAGACTATATTGGTTCTGCTTATCAAGAACAGGGGATATCTTCCCATTTTCTGCTATCCTCTTCCATCTCCTTTTTCAGAGTACTATAGTTTTCATTGTAGAAGTCTTCCATTTCCTTGTTTAGGTTAATTTCTAAGTATTTCATTTTTCTTTTTCTTTAATTTTATTGGTACATTTTAGATATACAATATAATGACATTCATCATTGGGAACTTGCACTTTTACATAATCTCTCTTGGTTCTTATTTTTTCCCCCTTCCCCTGCCCTCCTTTAACCCCTCCATCCCTCCCTATTTACAAAGACTTTGTTTACATTTTTTCATTTTCTCATATTGATTCCATTCCCTTCTTTCCTTTACCCTACCCCTCCAACTTGCCCTTCCCCTTTGCCCCTTTTCTTCCAATTTCACATTATCTATTATAACTTTTAGTCCTATTTACACTTCTAGTTTCTCACACTAGAGAAGCTATTCAGTATTTACACGTGTCCTATTTATTCCACTTAAGAGTATCGCCTCAATGTGCATCCATTTAGCTATAAATGTCTCTAATTTCTCATTTTTTATAGCTGAGTAGTACTCCATTTTAT